TCCATGTGTACGTGCAGTTTCATGATCTATATGAACAGTAAAAACAAAAAAAAAAAAAAAAAAAAAAAAAAGAAAAAGAAAGAAAAGATAAGAAAAAATGAAAGAAAGGAAGAGACATATTTTTTATACAACTTCAAGAAATGATTAAACACTGTCGAAAGATTTTTATTTTGTTTCTTTTTATTTTTTTATTTATTTTTTTTTTTTTTTTATTCACCCTTCACAATTATCTCTACGATATCTATAAGAATTATATTATTGATATTACATGCGAAATAACAGATGGATGAATTTTGGGATTATTCGAAATGGATATGATCGGTAGCGATGTTTCGATCGTTGGACCCATCAAATCATTTTTCACCTACCCCTATCCAAGTCACCCTTTCCAATCGGCCACATTTTTTTTCCTACTCCACTTTCATACCACTTCGAAATGCTCTCCGTTTAATTAAGTAAACGAAGCATCGGTGGTATTCGTCTCGTATTATCTTTACGGTTCACCGCTCGTAGTCGTTCATAATTAACCTACGATAAGCCTTTCACCAACCCTTTACCGATTATTATTATCGGCTCTTCGCACGATCGACGAAGCTCGCCATTGACGAGACGCGAATTTTCGGAGGAAATTCGGAGTGCACTCGGTGGTGCATAGCGTGGACCATGAGTTTAGCCGTTCAGGAAACGCGATTACACGGTGTCGCGATGCGTACGTTCCTACAATGCTCATTGAATTTGTCCAATGGAAATTATATGTCGTTGGGTCGTTCTTGCCACGAGCTTGAGAGAATTCGAGGGGAGTCGAAAGAAGATTCTGGTACGATCGTTTCGGAATACATTACAATAAAATCGCGATCGTGCGGTACGATCGAAGAAGGCCAAAAAGAAATAAAAGAAAGAAAAAAAGGGAGAGAGAGTGAGAGAGAGAGGGAGAGAGAGTGAAAGGGAGAGAAAGACAGAGAAGAAAAGAAGAAAGAAAAGAAATCGACGGGAACGGTGCGTGAATCGGTTGGCGCATTATGCGCGGATAAAATGATTTTATCGATCGTAAATGCAACGCTAGGCAATACCCGATTATGAGTATCTGGATTTATAACGCGGGAGAGCCCGGGGCCGTCGCTTTTACACCTGGATAGGACGATAACCTTTTATCGACGTTACCTAACCCTCCCTCTCTCACCCTCTCCCTCTTTCTCTCTCTCTCTTTCTCTCTCTCTCTCTCTCTCTCTCTCTCTTTTTCTCTTTCTCTTTACACGTCTCCTTCTCTTCGATGTATATCTGAAAAGAGCGAGTCGCGATTTGAATCGAACGAGGTGTCAATTACTTTTATTAGTCAGGATAAAAAGTCACGATTTATTTCGTGATTCCTATCGAGGGGATCGATGAGTATCCGATATTATTTTAATTCGAATTAAATGTAATTTTTGAATCATTCGATATCTGCGATCGCTTATATATTTAAATCGTAGAAAATATTCTTTCGACCCAGACGGAATACGATTAGGAATTTTTGCTTGTACTTACATGACCGATCCTCTATCCATTTTCTAATGGGCAATGATTATGGAACGACCTCTTTGCCTCTCCCTAATGCGGTGTGAACGTCGAAGCTCCGCATTAGCGTGCCTCTCTCGATGGTAGCTTGCTATAGGAGCAAAATTGATTACCAATAGTACTGGGAACACCTCCCCCCCCCTCTCTCTCTCTCTCTCTCTATCTCTCTTGTGTCCGGACTGTAATGATGTTTTGATGCGAGGACCCTGGTGCGCCGTGTATCGACTGCAGTTAACTAATGGAAGCTCTCCGATAATTGCGAATGCCGACGAAGAGTAAATGTTGCTAGCACGACAGTAATCATCGTTATCGAGTTCGCATACCGTTGAAACGACGAATCTTGACGAACCGACGAGCACACTTTCGTTTCCTCCTTATCTTGTTTCTTTTTTTCTTTCTTTTTTACTTTTTTTTTATTTTTTTATTTTTTTATTTTTTTTTTTCTCCCCTTGTATCATCAAATGTTACGATCAACGAAATATGAATCTTCACGAGGAAAATGTTCTCATTCATGTTATGAAAATAATAATAATAATAAAAAAAAAAAAAAAAAAAGAAAGAAAGAAAAAAGAACGAAGAATGTTGTTTCTGGGTACTTACGTATCGCGAAGATAAGCAAATTCAAGTATTATTCATGTATGCGTTCAAAGTGTAGTAAATTTTACTCATGGTACGAAAGGTCATGCCGGAGACACCAAACCTGCGTTTTATGCGATTTTTCTCAAATAGCGACGTCATATGTTTTCGTCTCTTTCTCTCTCTCTCTCTCTCTCTCTCTCTTTTGTTCTTTTAAACACGAATAAGTAAGAAAATAAGTTACATTGTTCTATGTTTTACTATGAAATAATTTAGAATATTTGAATGACAATAATTCTTTATATACATATATATATATATATATATATATATATATATATATAAATATTTCTGAAGTATTTAATTTAGCTATATTGTTTTAATTTTCTCTCTTTCTCTCTCTCTCTCTCTCTCTTTTTCTTTTCATAATCACGTTGAACAGGAACGTATCTCCTTTCATGAAAAATTCAAATTCCACTCCCCGATGACAATGCAAAGAGCTTTGGGACGTTCCTTCTACCCTCGGTAACATTAAAAACACGTACGATCGTTCCGAATGGCAGGTCTGTTTCGTTCCACGCGACGAGATAGAAACTACCCCCTCTGACGCCAGGCCACCCAGCGACTCTCATAATCAAAACTGCATTAAAATCGTGAAAGCACGGGGAGGAGCGCGAATGAAAAGTGTTTTGTCATCTAGGGTGCCGCCGGGAACCGCCTCTATAACAATATGCTCACCTCGTACGGGATATCCCTTGTTACGATGAAATACATTAATCTATATAATTCGATCGTACCAGGCTAATTTTTTCGTTTCTTCGTTCGCCCGGAAAATGGACAATAGGAAAAAAAAAAAAAAAAAGAAAAAAAAAAGAAAAAAAGAGAAATCTATTTAATTTAATTAATAAACAATTAATCGAATTTCATTTGAATGTGAAATATCACGAACAATTTACGAGAGAATGAAATTTCATTGGATCTTGAATGAAAACTATTGAAATTAATTTGCAATTTTTCTATAAGGCAAACATATTTTTAGCGATTTTTGCGAATTTTGTGAAAGGACGTAGGCAGTCGAACGTGAGCAGAGAGAAAGAGGATGGTACTTGGGCAGAGTTCGGGCAGTTGCCAATAGTATTCCGTCCCTTTCTCTCTCTCTCTCTCTCTCTATCTCTCTTTCTCTCTCTCTATCTCTCTCTCTCTCTCTCTCTCTCTCTCTCTCTCTGGGGTAGCTCGCCATTGTTCGGGCGATATTTCAGCCGCGGGGGTGGCAGAACCGAGGGCGGAGAGGAAGGCGGTTGGTAGTCAGCTGTCTGTGACACGCTGCCTACGCCGGCAAAGGGGAAGCAGAGACGCTTAGGAGCACCAGGACTGCTGGAAAGGGACCCTCGGTTTATGCACGCGAGATACTCTTTCATCCGACGATAGCCCTGACTTTGAAGAGGCTCTCTTTCTCCTTCTCTCTCTCTCTCTCTCTCTCTCTCACTCTCTGATTCTCTCTCTTTTTCTTTCTCTTTCTCTCTCTGTCTCTCTCTCTCTTCTTCTACTCCAGTATACTACCCTTCTCAACCAATCTCCGATTCTCTCGTAGTTCTCGATCGCCATTTTTACGGCACGTATTCCATCGATAATTTCGTTAACAGAGATACGATAAGTAGAATAAGGTAAACGCTTGAATTTTCGATGACATTATTACGATACATCTAGATATATCTGAATTGCTCCTGTTAATCGCACGATAGCGATTGGTCATTTATCACGTTTATTTCAAGCACGTTTAAATGAATTTCCAAAACGAATAAACGACGAGAACGGCCTTTTTTGAGGGGGTTTTTGATATTATACAAAGAATCAGAATGGAATATCTTGAAAACGTTTTAACCACAACCCGTCGGTTCACATTTGACTTTGACATTTGCCTACGCGTTTAGATGATTTAGACAAGTAGCATGAGCGTTCTAATCGATTCGACGTGTCCATCAACGATTCCCCGTGTAGTTTAAAACGTAAATGGAGCGTGATAAGGCGAGAAAAGCAAGTAGCGAGACAGAACAAAACAGAGAGAGAGTGAACGAGGTCTTCAGAGAAGAGGGAGGAGAGAGGATAGTATCAAAGAGCGTTTAATAATTATTATTCATAAGATTCTCTTACCGGTGGTGGGTCGGTGGCTCGTTCGCCCGTAAGATCGTGCAAGAAAGAGACGACGAAAGGAGAAAGGGGTGTACGTCTCAGGGATTGTTCAACTACCTCACGAATGAACTAGCAAGAAGCTCGCAAGAAGCTCGCTTTTCCATTCGCGTTGCGGGGGTGTATTCGAGTCAGTCGAGTAGAAACCCAATCACTTCCGGCGTCTGCGCCCATTAGGGAGCCGCGACGCTGACGTCGGCTGACGTACGCTCTTCCTCCCCCTCCTCATTCTCTTTTCCTCTCTCTTTCTCCCTCTTCTCTTTCCCCTTTTTCTTCTTACTTCGACGCTATTCACATTTACCACCCTCTACTCTCTGCTTCTTCTTTTTCCACTTCATCCTCCGCTATAGTATCCGTTGGACCACGACCAACCACGAAACAAACCGCAGATCTATTGTTTGGAAAGCGTTCGTACGGAAACTCATACTCGAGAGCGTGGCTAATGACGTATCGAGAATGTTGTTCTCTTTCTATTTCTCCGCGTTTTCCTACCCTCTCGAGTAAAGCTCGATGAGCTGTCGTTAGTTTCTCTTCCGCAAAACTTTATCCTTCCACCTCAACCACCCATCCAACTCATTCCCATCTCATTCCCTTAACTCCGTCATTTTGTAGTTATTATTAAAAGAAATCAATGTAACGTGTTGATTATTAACTTGCTTTTTTTTTTCTTTCTATTCTTTTAGGTTCATTAATGCGAGGCGTAGAATCGTACAACCGATGATAGACCAGAGTAATCGAGCCGGTAAGTCGACACCAGTTTTAATAATGAACTATCAAACACAAATCCAAAGAAATATACTCACACGTACAATAATACACACACATATATATACACATTTATTTGCAATACCTGCGATATATGCAATTATATAATAAAATTATATGGAATACATACAATACATATATATATGCAATAGATGCAATACGTGCAATGGATGTTGAAATTGATTTGTTTTATTACTTTTTTGATTTTATTTTCACTCAACTTCTTCTGCTGTTGATATTAATTTTGGCTTTAATCTTAATTTCCATGTAATATGCTTATTACTTTTTAATTCTAATTTATTTTTCATTTTATCAAAAAAAAAAAAAAAAAAAAAAAAAAAAAAAAAAAAAAAAAAAAAAAAAAAAAAAAAAAAAAAAAAAAAAAAAAAAAAAATTATTGCGAGCGATTTTATACGATAACTTTTTATTGCATCGCCTATTTGTAAATTACGATCATTATTATTATTATTATTATTATAAGATTAGAACATATATTAAGAATAATATAACGTAATCTCTTTTGCTCGCTTTAAATTACTTTTAAGTCTCAAGTCTCTTCAAATTTTCATATCAATTTTTAACGAATAAAATGGATTTATATTTTAATAATATAAAAGAGATACATTAGATGATTCGAATATATCGAAATCGATGATCATTATTCGTAATAAAAGTAATATCAATCAATAGATAATCGAAAAAGTGAGTTCACTACAAGATGTTCAATGAGTTTTGCGATCCTTAAAGACGTCACGTTTACGAGGAGGGAATCACTTCGTTTGCACTAAAAGGCGACAACAACGGGGTGTAAGGTTCTATCTCTCTCTCTCTCTTTCTCTTTCTCTCTCTCTCTTTCTCTTTCCCTCTCTCTCTCTTTTCTTCTCTCTTCCACACCGATGAGGTTCAAGGGTTCGGTAGTGATTTGGATGATGGTGAGAGGGTTCTTCCATGGAGTACAGGCTGGGCAGAGGTGGATAACGTTCCGGATAACGTTCGGATAACGCTCGGATAACGGCGGGATAATTGGTAGCGGTGATCAGACCGAGTTTTACGATCCGGCAACATGCGGCCATGGAAACACTCTCCCTCTCTCTTGCTCTCACTCTCACTCTCATTCTCTTTCATCCCTACCCCTAGATTCGTACATCCCTCGGTCTTTCTCCTACGCTTTCCAACTCTAAAGAGTCTTTGTTTCGATGAAATGGAGAGAGAAAGATATATATATATATATATATATATATATATATATATATATAGAGAGAGAGAGAGAGAGAGAGAGAGAGAGAGAGAAGAAAAAGATGGAAAGAGGAAAAGTGTTCTCGAGAAAAAGTTTGGACGAAGTACGAGGGTGGTCCGGCTAAACGGTCGAAGCACACCGAGGCCCGATTCGCCGCGTATTTTTACGACTACTCCTCTCATAAACACTCACTGAGTTACGGCTTGTTTGCTCTGTCCGAAAGTGGGCTTTAGGGGCGCTTTATCCACCATCCACCATCCACGACGCGTCCGTGTAAAGCTTGGTGGTTTCTTCCTTTTCTTTTTTTTTTCTTTTCCTTTGCTTTTTTCTTCTTCTTTTTCTCCTTTTTCTCTTCTCTTTCTTTAGGGAAAGCCAAAGATCGTTCGTTCTTTTCTCTTTTTTTTTTTTTTGTTCCTTCTCGTTCTCCCTTACCCATCTCTTATTCACATTTATATTCTTCCAAACTATTTTCTACGTTTTCATTCGTGTAATCACCCATTGTAAAAATTTTTTCCAGTTATTAACAAATGAGATCAATGACGTCAATGATAATTTTAGATTCATTAGATTCATTTAGATTCATAGTATCAAAGGTACAACAAGGTTCGCTCGTTCCTCCAAGAGAGTCTTCCGAAGTTAAGCTTCGAAGAGAGGACGAAGGACGAAGAAGAAAAGAATGAGAGAGAAAGAGAGATAGTGCGAGATAGATATAGATAGATAGATAGATAGATAGATAGATAGAGAGAGAGAGAGAGAGAGAGAAGGAGAGAGAAAGAGTGAGAGAGTTAGTCGCTTCACTCGCCTTCGGTTAAAGTGGAAAGTCGTGTACAAGTTAGATTATAATCCTGAGTCAATCCTGATCGTAGGTACGTCGTTTCAACGGCGGATATTCGACCTTTTCAGCCCTTTCGTTTCAACGCAACTACTTCCTATGTTTCCTCGCTTCTCTCTATTCCGAGAATGTCTTCCTTTCTTTTGATTTCACGGAACGATAATAATCAAGGAATAACGAAAGGGTCCCAGGATGGTAACGAAAATTTTCGTTTAGAAGAAAACGTTTGCCAAGAATTTTTCCAATACCAATCCCTTTTTCTTTTTCTTTTTCTCTCGACGATCGGCAGTCCATTAAAGCTTAATAGCCGAGGCATTAGACCCCAGGGCAGATTTTGTACGAACGGAAACGAGATAAATGTATCTTTCAAATGTTCCTGCTCCCCCGTGGCCGCGTTCAACCGCGTGATCGATTTCTCGTAAAGCTCTTGTTTTTTTTTTTTCTTCTTTGTTTCTTTTTTTTCCTCTTTTTATATATATATATTTTATATATATAAATATATATATATATATATATATATATTCCTCTTTTTTTTACTCTCTTTCTCTTTCTTCCTTGGACGTGCATATCGTGATTCGTTGCAGCTTTAAAACACCAATGGCGGTAGATTCAGGGATACAGAGTCGTCGACATTAATTCGGAATGCATTTTGAGAAGAATCCTTCTCTGTCTGTTTGTCTCTCTCTCTCTCTCTCTCTCTCTCTCTCTCTCTCTCTCTCTCTCTCTCTCTCTCTCTCTGTCTCTCTCGGTCACAGCGCGCTTACAATGGCAACAACAACGTTCGACGGGATACTTGGACGACGAGGAGGTTCCTTCGTGTCGAGCTAATGATGCTCGTCGTACGGATCATCAATCATACTTTCATTACGTGGATCGCAGCTGCGATGTGCTCCACATTGACTCCGAGAGTGCCGGGAGGCATTGTTATTATTCCGAGTGCTCGAGAGAAATCTGTACAAGCAAAGCAAAGGCAGCATCTCTTTCTCTCTCTCTCTCTCTCTCTCTCTCTCTCTCTCTCTCTCTCTCTCTCTCTTCTTTCCCTTTCTGTCTGTTTCTCTCTCTCTTTTTCTTCGTTCTTTCTCTCTTATCGACGATAACGCGTCCTGGAAGTATCGCGATCGTCGAGTTTACGAGCTCCTACGTACGGTAACGCTCGTCGATCCTTATCGAGACTCTCTTCGTGGAAGAAGCCATCGAGATAATACCTTCTTCTTTTTTAACTTGCTCTCTCGCACGCACGAGTGTGGGCGATGCACCGGTTTATACCTCAAATTGGTCGCGGTGCCCTTTATCCCACGATCGAGATGTACATATCTTGGATGGGATATGTACACCGAACCTCTGTCAAATATCGAGCGAGATTATACTCTGGGTGGATTCTCTTTCCATCGTTTTCGGATGGTCAGTTTCTCTCTCTCTCTCTCTCTCTCTCTCTCTTTCTCTTTTTTTTTCTTTTTCACTCTCTCGCATTTTATGCGCTTGAGTTTCTTTCATAGCTGCTGTTGCTGTTGTTGTTGCTGCTGCTGTGTTGCGTAGGCTCCGCTTGATTCGCGCCTTGATTCGTCCCTTGATTTACCGCATCCTGCCGGTAAAGATATTCTCTCTCTCTCTCTCTCTCTCTCTCTCTCTCTCCCTCTCTCTCTCTCTCTCTTTCTTTTTTCTCTCTTTCGATCGCACGATCATTTTTATTTCATCGTGTAAATCGACTTAGCTACTCGAGATGGGACAATGAGAAGAGAGAACGTTGATCTGTTTGAAAATTTGTGAGTATAGTCATTCACGGAGAATTAATCAAAATAAATTATAAAGATAACGTATTATCGGTCAGTTCTTGGTTTAAAGCAGACTTAAAACTCGAAGACGGCAGGTAGGATACCGCATACAGTTACTGGTATACCGGTAACAGTAGTAGAATTGCTATCCCTTCGTCCGTTCCCAGAACGACGCAGTAAAAACGTAACAGCGCTCCCAAAGTACCGTAAAGCTGTGAACGTACGGTGCATTTCGTAACGATAGCGCGATAAAAGGCGTCAACTACCACCTTCGTACAACTTACACGACTTACAACACAACTTACAAAGGAGAGAGAGAGAGAGAGAGAGAGAGAGAGAGAGAGAGAGAGAGTTGGTTAATCCTAAAAAGTAAAAAAATAAGAAGAAAGAAAATAAGGAAAAAAAGAAAAAAGAAAAAGAAAGAAAGAATAACCAAATTTATTCCTCGATTTCTAACCGAGTAATTCTAAAAAATAAAGAAAAAAGAAAAAAAAAGAAAAGGAGAAAAAAAGAGGGAAAAAAGAAAAATAAAAGAAACAAATTCACTCGTTGATCTTTAACGTGCGATCATTATTGGATTATCGTGGAATAATGATTTCTTTTTTTTTCTTTTTCTTTTATAGATTTAATTATTATCATCATCACAATGGTGTGATTTGTTATTACCTTTTGCAAAAGAAAGAAAGAAAAAAAAAAAAAAAAAAAAAGAAAAATCATTCACTCGTGGTTCATCCGTTTCGGTTTATCTTAAGTCGAGAAAAGGAGATCGCTGTGACGATAGTTCGATTCGTGTTTCACGGTATTGTGGAGATAAAAAGGATCCGGCTTCGGTCGGGGATGAAAAATGTATTGAAAATTAGGTGAAAGCCATCGAGTGAGCAAAGAAGTTGAGAGTAGGTGAGGGGATGGGGGTGGATTGGTGAAATGCGACGGATCGCTTCCACCTTTTTCCCTGGTGAGTCTCCTAAGGGTGGACACGGTCCATCCACACGATTCCAACTCTTATCCGGTGTGGGCTCGGAGCTCCCGATGGCGTAGAAAGCTTTTTTCCAGGGAATACACGACACGGGATATATTCGAGTTTTGGTGGTGGAGAAGCAGTTACGTCGACCCTTCCTTTACGAATCTAGTCGCGG